TATATATATTTATATATACCTAATGTACTAATTTCAGTGCACGCTTATTCGGCCAACGGATGAGCGTCGTCGCGGTAATCGCTGAGCAGTTGTGTGTATGTGTGTTAAATTAACTTCCGTGTTATCCTAGTCACTGATCCGACTCGTTATTAGTCGTTAGCACGTTGGCGGGCTCAGACTCTTTATTGTTCGATGGTAGACTCGCGGCGTCGGTCTCCTCGTTGTCGCCCTCGGTGCTATCGGCTGCACTGGCACGCGGCGCTGTCGCCGCCGTCAATGCCACGTCCTCTTTTTTATCTTGTTCATCCTCATTGGCGACGTCGACACCGATGGATTGTTCCTGTTGTAACTTCTGCATGTGCAGCTGACTGCGCAGCTTCGAAATTTCGCGCGCGTCCGACCGCCGATGACGCCGTAGTTGCGCATTCTCCGACGCCACGCGACGCGCTAGCTCTATCACGTCCTGCGGCACGTCCAACGCTCTCAGTCGCTCTTCCAGATCCGCCGCCGCACTACCGTCCGTGTCAGAGTCGCTTTCCGATGGCGAGGAAGTGCCGACCTCGGAGGAAGCCGCCAGCAGTGGAGGTTCCACGCTCACCGTGGACGATGTCACAGCCGTGCTGCTCTCTTCCTCCTCACCGTCCTTCTCCTTCCTATCCTTCGGTGGCGTCGATTCCTTCTGATTTTCATCAGACACGTAATATAGAGGATAAGAAGCTGCAGTGGCCGCTTGAGTCGGCGATGTTTTTTCGAGTTTGATACTGACTGGCGACAGCAACTCTTGCTTCTCGCTCGTAGGACTCGACGAGCGATGATTGTGACGGCGATGCTCGTGATGATGCCGTCGTTGCTGATGAACGGAAGAAGGCGGCGGTATCTGAGCTATCTGAGTGGGCGTCGGTATAGGCGCCAGTGCCACGTTGGGTTGGAAATGCGGCTCGAAACGCTCGCACTCCGAAAGCGGGATAACACGTTCAGGATGTTGCAGTACAGGCGGACCTCGACTAAGAAACGCAGGCACCAATGTTGAACTGTCGATAAAAAAAAATAATATTACTGTCATTTCTGAGAATCTCTTTTGTGGAAAATATATACAACACGCTGTGTTATAATAATTACAACACTCACTTGTCCCTGTGCTTGCAATTGCTCGTCGAGTTCCAAGGCCGAAATGCGGATGCGCCTCTGGCAGCGAGCTCGAATAATGTCCACTGCATCTGGAAGTAAGGATCAGCTGCTTGCATTTGGGACACAGGATGATATATGCCTAGTCCGTTGCCATTGTAGATTCCAGCGCAATCGTTCTTCCCTACGTCCTTCTTTGTGCGTTTGGTTAACCTTTCGTATTCATGTCGTAGCTAAATAAGAGATAATTATGTTTACATATTTTTCAGACACATCTGCGATGTTGCAAATCAAATAAATTTCAAATATATATTTGAAAGTTATTATATTTTACGTATGCATAAAGTATTGTCAAGTATGTGTATTATTATTTTATGTATAGATATGTGTAATATTAAAATGATCTGATTAATATATTTTATAAATATATTAAGTATCATTATTAAATATGTATGACATTAACTTTATTTAATTTCGTAAAAAATGCATGATAATACCTCCAGCTTTCGCTTGGAGTTTAGCACAAAATGCCTGTCCTTCAGCTCTCGGAAAAGGATGAGCGCTTTGTTGTAGTGCGGTTGATCACGGCAGAGCAGCAGATACGACCGCCAGTTTGCCGAGTCGAAACCCCAGTGACAGGTACGATTTTCCAGAGATCTGTGAGCGTGTCTCACAAAACGTTGGGGAGAGAACTGATAGTTGCACTCCTGGCACTCGATGCATACCGAATCGTCCGTTTCGAACAGATCCGCGTCGAAAACGCCTTTACACTTACCGAAGCACTCGTGATACACTTTGAACTTGGCGATCGTTTCCTCCTCGTCGTCGTTCTTGCCACACACTTTCTTTTCGAGACAATCTTGCGTCTGGCCGATTTGAGAAGGATCGCAGGATTCTGTCCGTAATAGCAAAGCACTAACGAGCCTCTCGGCGTCGGTTTGGGTGATAAGACCACAGGATGGCGCATTGTGCGGCAGGATTCCGGACTGCTTGAGTCCTTCGAGCTGATCACCGGTGCAGCGCGAGCAGTAGATCTGCAGCTCGTCGCACACCTGGTTGATTTGTTGCAGAGAAAAGTCCTGCAGCACCGTGTTCAATATCTGCGGTAAACATAACCTCCTCTCACCGCCCACCACGAAGCACGATATCCTCTCGCCTTCGAGGATCGTCTCGCATCGCTCGGAGCAGTTTTGATCGGGCGCCGTTAATATCGGTATCTGGAACTCGAGCTCGCGCTTCTCGACGCTCTTCAGACGATCCACCGCCGAGGGATGATCCTCGTCCGAATCCTCCAACGATCGCGGCGCCTTGATCACGGGCGTCACCGGGCGCGTCTCGCGACCCTCCTTCTCGACGATGTCCTTCGGCGCCTGCTCCCCAGGCGATTCCAGGCCGCAATTGGCCGCCGGACGACTGGCGGGTGGCGAGAAGCACGAGATCGCCGATTGTTCGCGCAGCAGCGCTTTACAGTCCATGCCCAGCAGGGCCGAGCTAGGACCCTGCAGACTCTTCACGGCTGACAGCTGATAGGTCTTGAGCACGGTTTTCAACTGCGGACTGTACGACTGACTGGCGGTGGTGTTGCCCGGCAGTAGTGTCTCCATTATTGCTGCGCCGCGTGTTGTGAGCGTTCTTTCTCGGTTTCCGAGAGAAGTGTGTGCCTTTCCTCCGCGTGGAAGAGGATAACGCGGCGAAGAGAAGCGAAGAGAAGAGAAGCGAAGAGAAGCGAACGCGAAGACGCTCGCCGCCGGTCGTGCTCTTAAACGTGTACGGCTCTCGTCGCTGCGCTCACACACACGAAAAACAAAAAAAAATCGACGAGTTTGTCACATTCGTATATCGATATATCGCGTTATTATACGATACGATACTCCGTATTGTATCCCACAACTGTCTGCAACGAGCGTTTCTCTATTTCACGTCGCGGAACACGCCGTGGCAGCGGGAATCGAGCACTAGAACAACTGGCACAGCGACTCGACTGCCTCGCGATCCCACTTCCATGTCACTCGAGCCCAGTGTGTCGTCGTTGTCGTCGCCGTCGCGATGATTCTCGTCGTCGCACCACATTCTCCGCGTTTGCTCGCGGATCGACGTTCCGAATCGCGAGACAGACCCGGGTCCATCTCACCGCGCGAGCTTCTTCCTAATCCGCGCGCTGCTGCTCCGCACTTCTCTTTCTCACTCACTCTCTCTTTCTCTTTCGCACTTTCTCACTCGTTCTCTCTCTCACTCCGATCTCCGTCCGGCGCGAGAGACCGAGTTACACGCGTATAACCCGTCCGCGCGCGTCCGTCCGTCCGTCCTTCCTTCCTCCCTACGTTTGCCCCTCCCGCCGTTGCATTACACCGCCGACGAAGACAACGATGCGACTGCTGCTACCGCCGCGACCCGCGATCCGTCGCGACGCCACCACTTCCACACACATGATAAAGCCGCTCTCCGTCCGTCTCTCCCGCGCCTCTCGCTCCTTTGTCCGTGTCTCCTCGCTCTCCCTCTCTCGCACTTTCGCGGGGCAGAAAAGCGCGTTACGCGGAGATCGCACGCAGCAAGTCCTCCGTCGAGCCTCCTCGAAACGAGAGAGAGCCTCCTCCTCACGAGTTCCCTCCGATTCCGTCGCGAACTCCCTCCTTGCTCCCTGCCACTACCTTCCTCCTACTCCTCCTTCACCACCTTCTCCTCCTCCTCCTCCTCCTCCACCACCTCCTCCTTCTTCTTACGACGGCGGTTTCAACGCGACGTTCTCGTAGCCGCGAATTCGATGCGCGTCGAAAGCAGCACGGATTCGAGTCGCACGGTCACGGATACGACGGCCCGACGATCCATAGCGGGCTCAAGTCTCCCTGCCTTATCGAACGCAATCCACAACCGACCAAATGACACATGTGTCCGTCTATTTATCTTTCGCACTCATTGCACGTTATTCATCGTTACACACATACACACACGCACACAGAAAGGCACGCGCGCGCGCGCGCGCCCACGTTTCTATTTATCATCTCTTTATCCGTCACTTCACCACGACGCACTGTTGTCGCGCGTACGATACATGCTATCCCGCACTCGTTGACAACGTCGTCGTCGTCGTGTGAACTCTATCGCGCGCACCACGTACGTTGTCGTTGTCGCTACTGGCGTCTGCGATGATCGCTATCGGGACGCCGCGCCGCCGCGGCACCACCGCTCCGCACCGCGCGCGCCAAATACCAACGAGAATGTCGGCGATGATACGTCCGACGTCCGGCGAATATTATCGCGTCACTGGAGCACGACCACCAGCACGGTTGGCATCGTCAAACGAACGATTTACTCGTCGGCACGTCGCGACGCAATGGCGTATCGATCGCAGTGGTGGCGGCGGCGGCGGCGGTGGCGGCGGCGACGGCGGCGGCGGCGGCGGCGGCGCCGGCGGTGGCGACGGCGACAGCGGTGCAATCGAGTAGGCGAGAAGACGACGATGAGTAGCAGACACTCGCGGGAACACGCATATTTCTTACAGCGTCGCGGAAGCAATCGATGACGATCTCGATTCCGGATGACGTGCGAGCGAATGGACCATTCGACGATGCGAATACACGCGCGATCTGCGATGCGAATATTTTTCTATCCGTCTCTGTCTTTCTTTCCCGCCTATTCTCTTTCTCCCCCTCTTTCTCTCTATGCACAGACGCTAACGAGACAACGGCAGAGCCTCCGCGATATATATGTATACGTTTTTCACGCACGCTTCTCCTCGCCCGCCGCGCTTTCGTGGATGATGACTGTGTGGATGTTTGTTCTGTTTCTCGCTCTACTCGTTTCTGTCCTCCTCTCAGTCTCTTTCTCTCGCGCGTTCCCGCTCCGCCGAGTCTTTTTGCTCTCACGCGCGAACAGAGGGGTCCTCCTCCTTCTCGCACTTTTGCTCTTTTTATTTCTCTCCCTCTTCCTCTCTATCTCGTGTCCGCGCACACGTACACACACGAGTGCGAACGGTCGCGTAAACATCGGACGAGAGTCGGAACGGCGGAGCCCTTGAGAGAACGAGACTGGCTCCGCTCGTGCAGAACTCTCATTCTCTCTCTCTCTCTCTCTCTCTCTTTCTCTCGTTTGTATATGTGTGTAGCGAACGTGCTCGAGCGCTTGTGTATATTTTGCTAGTTCGCTATGCATATATGTATGCTGCACATATATATGCTAACGCACGGTGCTCGCGCGTGCTGCTAGCGCACGCTTTCCGCGCGATTATGTGAGTCTCAGCCGGCTCTGTATATACCAGGTGTCAAGAAACTGCAAACCTTACCTATTAATATTTCTGCTCGAATGGCGATTTTTTTCCTCAACCGAAGCTTAATCTACCGACATTTCTTTCTCCTTTAATTTTCGAATCCAAGTATCTCGAGCACTACATTAACAGATATATAATTACATTTAAATTTTATTTAATTAAAGATGAAATAAGGAACAAGGCTCTGCTATATTTACCCACACTAGATTAGATTAATCATTAATCATCCATAACGTAAATATCTTTCCTGACGCTGTTTTTAACTCGAATTCTCGATTCGATCTCGAAAATCATACGCTTAATCTTTCCGTACTCCGTGCATGCATGCTTGCGCGCGCGAGCGTTCTGCACGCTCATCTCCTCTCGGTGTGCGTGCTGGCACATACGCGCTCATGTCCGCTCGGTGGTAAAGAATCACCGTAAACTCTGCATGCCTGTCTCGTTCCCCTCTACGAGCATCGCGGCCGCGACGGCGACGGCGACCGTTCCTCCCTTTCTCCTCGCTCGGGCGACAACCGGCCACCTACTGCGCACCGCCGCGCCTCTGTCGCGAACAGTGCCGGATTAAGAGACGACTGAAAGAGGACTGTCATTACTAAATGCCTATGGAATCCAAACAAATCCACTCATATATTTATCTTATCGTAAATTCCGGGACTCGCATCCTGTTATCTTACTCTAATCTCTTTCCCCATACAATGCTTTTTCGTCCTTACAACTGCACAATGTTGTATACAGATTATAGTACACGGATTTGATATTTATACAAGAGAAAGGGGCCCGTTCGGAGTGCCTCGGCACAGTTCTGCTTGCGAACTTTTCTCTCCGGCTTCCACTCGGCCCGATACTCGGACGTAACGATAGGAAGAAGCATAAAAGATAGCGGTGCTTCTGGACATGCTTAATGAAGAGGCCTCGTCGCAGTTTTCATGTGCATATTACAATATTCTTACCTAAAATTTTATAGCGTGATGAAATAGCGGGCAATTGTAAAAAGAATTTTATTTCGTTATCAAGTTCTTACTGTTAATTTGTTTTCACTCGCTCTCTCTCTCTCCAAGATTCTAGCCACATCCCTGCAGCTCCTCGCCGCAACGCGCATAGCTCGGTTACGGCGGCGGCACGCGTCTCTGTGTGAATCGGCCGCCGCCGAACGTCTAGTCATGTGACCTTCCCGTCAAAATAGCCTGCGTACCTCCCCGCGCGCGCTACGCATACATTCGCATGGCGCAGCACGCTACACAAGTACGTACGTAGCCGCGAGACGATGGAGTGTGGAGGTGCGGCCGTGGCGTGCTTAGTATCGTTGCCATTTTGTGTTCATTGTCAGGGCCGGCGCACAAAGTATCGTAAAGCTCAGACCGACGGCGATGACGTGCTCTCCATCTTGTTCTCCTTCCAAGCCAGACAGCTGGTTGCCGTACTTAATGTCTTCTGACAATACTTGGAAGAAATTAGATTCATGTCGAAAAAAATAATTAAAAAATGTTGAAATTTTTATGAAAGAAAATAAAATACCATAAATGTCGAATTCTAGATAATTTCTACATCGCATCGATATGTTATGTTTGTTGATAAATAAAGTTCCGTGATGATAGGAATAAGTTTTCTGTGTAATTAAGCTGTTATCGATAAAGAAACAAACAGATTATAGTTCTTATTGATATTATGGTAGATATAAGAATAGAATAAATATCATATTCATTTATTCGAAATTCTAAAAGAATTATAGAATGATATAGTAAAATATTTACAAGGATGAAATCTTTTATCTCATACATACATATCTAAGTACAATTTTAAAATAAAAAAAGTTATCCATATCACTTAACTTATATTTACTTTTTATTTATCTTTCTTTGCCGTCTTATTTTTCTTTTTCTTCTTTTGCGTCTTTTTATGTTTCTCTTCCTTTTTGTCCTTCGATTTCTTTTGTTTACTTTTCTTCTTTTTCACTGGAACTTCATCTTCCGACGACGACGACGAGGATGAATCAGTTGTTGTCGAACTAGACGAACTGGAGCTTGACGACGAAGCGGACTCATCGGAGCTCGAGAGTTCTTCCTCCTTGGTGATTATCACCGGCACAGCAACTGGCTTTGGATGGGATTTCAAATGTTCTCTTAAATCGTCTGTCAGACCACCTAAACCAATGGAAGTGAAAAAATTAATTGCGAAACGTGTATTCTTCGGATCATCTCTAGGAAAGAGTCCTTCAAACACTTCCTGCAGTGTCACATCCTTGACTCGTTCATTCAACTTTGCTAGGCCCATGTATTCGGAAAGCTCTTGAAACAGAATCTTGATAAATATTCTGTTGGAACTAGTGGTGTCCTCCTCGTTTAGTTTTATGCACGACAGCACGCTCCACGATATAGAGTCTGTGAACAACAAATGTGCAAAAAATTTCGACACGTTTCGCAATTTGTTGGTATCGAGACGATGTATCGTATGGTACGAATCTTTGAAGATCTGCTCGAATGGTGTCACGTACATCTTGTTGATGGCGCAAAATCGACCGGCCAAGAGCCCGAAGAACTTCTCATATGTCCGCATTTCTGCACAACAGTCTAAGAACATGTGGCAAAGCTCGATTTCCTGTCCAGGTTTCAGCTGCATCTTCATCAGCTTGTGTGCGCATTCTTCGAAATCGAGCGAGGAATGTATCGTTAGATATATAGTACGTCGAAGAGCGGTCAAATTTGTTTCCGTATTGTCGAGTATGACACCTTCTTTTCCTTCGGTTTGCTCCGCACCGCTGTCTTCATCCGAACTTTCCTCCTCCTCGTTCTCGTCATCACCTTCCGAATCGCTTTCGTCCGAGCCAAGGATCTCTTTGCTCAATTGCTTGTACTTCTCTTCAGTGGCGAGATAGTCCGTGTCAAACTTGAACACATTAAGTATATCTTGTCCATTCATCTCATCGTCCAGTCTTATCAGATGGGTAATTTGATGTTCTTCCTCCACGAGGTCTAATTCTTCAGGCACGGCTTCGTGATCCTTAAATCCGTCTTTTCTAATTTGAAACATAACTTCTATCATGTATTGAACTCGCTTGTCCAATTGTCCCTCGTGCAATATATTTCTCAGCATCTCAAAGATAGCTTCAATGCCTCTTCGCGAAACCTCTGTCAATTTCATGCCACACTCTTTCAGAAATGCTATGGCCACTTCCACGGAATCGTCCGTCGGCGTTTCTAACAGCAAAGTTAAGATTTCCAAAGCGATAATCTCATAGGCTACACGCTGATTAACTAAATGCGCTATAAATGTTCCTGAAGATATACACAGAGGTTTATCGTTTCTTTTAAATCCGCGTTTAAATTGCAGCACGAGACGCTTCAGCACCAGTTCTCCTATGTTAGGAAACTTGGAATTGATTATAGATGTTAGTGCTGCGTAAACGGATGTGAATGTTGGAGAAGCTGCTTGCGCTTGAATGATTGATCGTGCCAACAAACCTCTACCACGCACAATATTTTCATGCAACAGTTCTCTCGTAATAATACCTATATTACTAGTGTTAACTTTGTTGATATATCCATGGATGGACTTCTTCAAGGCTTCCCATGCGATACGTTGATAAGCAGCACCCGACTTATCGGTGATCTCCGCTTGAAGCATACGCAGTTTTGCAGGTGGAATATAAGCACCTCCTGTTTTTGAAGTCAGGAGATCCGTACGCTTCTGCCTGACTTCCTCTGGATTTTCTTGCGTTTTATTCGGTTCTCCATAATATCTAGTTCCTATCTCTTCCTCCGGTGAATTGCGCTTCTTGTGCCTCTCGTTATCGCTGTCTCTAGAATCCTTGCGATCGTCATTATACTTACGATCTTTGTGATCTTCGCGTCGACTACTCCGATAATCATTGTCGCGTCTCGAACTTCTGTGGTTATCGTCGCGTCTGGAACTCCTGTGATCATCATCGCGCCTGGAACTCCTGTGATCATAGTCGCGTTTCGAGCTTCTGTGATCATCGTCGCGTCTGGAACTTCTGTGATCATCATCGCCTCTGGAACTTTTGTGATTACCATTGTGTCTGGACTCCTTATAGTCGTCGCTGCGTGTGTGATCTCTTCGCTTGCGATAGCGTTCGTCGTTCTCCTCCTCGTCTCTTTTTGTATGCGATCTCTTCATTCTGTCTTTGCATAACCTCACATGAAAACTTGGATACAAATCTCACTAATTTTCTGTGTACATATAGTTCAATCTTTACTAGTGCGTTCGTAATAATTGTCCAATAATTACGTATATCGCAACACGTTAATTTATATTATATGTAAATATGTTATACAGTAAATAAAAAGTCGCCACCGTACTCGTGATCTCGTCAGGTTTTCCAACGTATTCAAACGTGTTCAAAAAATGTAACAGATGAGTCGTTCACATTAGTTTTTAGAAGATAAATCTGATTGGTTGCATTACTAAGTGTGTTCTAACTTGCTTCACGTTACGAGTTTCCTGAATACGCCACCAGATTCTACTCTGTACAAGCATAAGAAAATTTAGACTGCAAAGGGTCTACATTGAAATTAAATTCGATGGTTAATTTCATGCTGCACGAAAAATAACCTTTTAAATCATTTAAAAGGATTTGTATAATATTTTCGAATGGACATAAAGTAAACAGAATAATAATAGAAAATTGAAAAAAAAAATTGAAATGGCTGTGATTTCGAGAATTTTTTCTCGTAAAGGTTACGGTGGATTACAACCAGCAAAAATATTACGTAGGTTATTTTAATGCTACTCTCTGTTATGATATAGTTATAAAATATATTATATCTATACCACAGTTATTTATATAGAATTTATAATTTTTTAAAATTGATAATTATTTTTTTATAGACAATGCAGTTAGAGGAAATACCTCGACAGTGGTTTCAAACCCAGTGAAAGAAACACACAGCAATAAAGAACAAAATACTGAACAAAAAAAAGCAATTCCAAGTAGATACCGATTTATTTATCCGGAATTTTTACCAGATCCAGATGTGAGATATCGCAATGCACTCAGGGAGAAGTTGGAGCGGATGGATATGATGGCAAGACGAACGCATATAGTAATACCTGAATTTTATGTCGGTCCCATCTTAGCTGTTACTTACTCCGAGCCACATGCCACTGGCAAGGTCAGTAGATTTGTTGGCATTTGTATTGAGAGGAAAGGATGTGGATTGAGATCTACATTTCAATTGAGAAATATAGTTGATAACCAAGGTGTTGAAGTACTTTATGAGTTATACGATCCTGCAATACAAAAAATAGAATGTCTCAGGTAAATACAGATTGTTACAGTTTTATATATAATACTCAGAAATTTCCTTTTATATTGATTATTATTCATGAAATACCTAGGCTTGAGAAAAGATTGGATTCACATCTGCGATATCTGCGCGATGCACCACCAGAATACAGTACCTTTCCCTTTGACATGGAATCTGAACTTTTGCCAGAAGGAGCATCGGTTCCTGTAAATGAGATCAAAGTAAAGCTTAATCCATATCCATGGATAGAAAGATGGGAACGTCAAGGATTGAAAGGTGTAGCAGAGTTGATACTTAATGAGAGACGCATCAGAAAAGCCAAGGATACTGAAAAACCTTGGGAGAAATATGATCTAATGAAAAAATACAGGTATGCCAAAAGTGTAGAATACCTTCTGGTATAACACTTCATATTTTTGACACATATTAAACTACTTTGATATATGGTTTGCTCTAATTTGTTATCTTTCCATCAGGGAAACGATTCCTGAAGAAGAACAGAATGAAATATTCGACGAAGTGTATACAAAATTACACGAACTGGAGATTGCTAGACGCAGAGAAAAGCATAAACGTACTTTCGTACGTCCAACGAAAACTGCGTAGCTTACAATTATGTACAGCATTTCTTAATTCATGTAAAGAAACAGAATGCAATAGATAAATATATAATCGTTTTTTGTTACAATCTTCTATTATTTCATAACAATGCAGCTATTTGCTCCCTTAATATGACACAATTGTAACTTATCGTACAAAACAGTAATTTAGTTATTTTTTAAAGAAATAAAAATAAATTAAATATAAGAACAAAAAAACTATTGATTTCTTGCTCCACACACTCTATTTACATACCAGACTTATTCTATTATTTATATCATGTAGCTATATTCTGAAATAATATCGTATTAATATAGTATTTGTCGGAAATTCTTTGTGGTCAATAAAAGTTTCTTTTTATTAGGAAGTGAAAAATATACAATAGTAACTGGAAAACTTGTTTAATCCTATATTTCTGCATCGCATATTTTTTCTTTTGTGATAACTATTTGTAGATTTTTTTAACATTTTGAATGTCGCACATCTATACATGGTATGTTTGTCCTTAATAAGAAAAAATCGTCATTAATTTATATGAAAAATTTGAAACCATATAAAAATTGAGAACATAACTCACTATTTTTTTTCCATTTAACGACACTAACTCCAGAGACTTTACTGTATTGATCAGTATATTAAATGTACATTGTAAGAACATTGCGGATTCCGGAGTTAGGTTTAAATTTCACAGTCAAAATTGGCAGTCAAAATGTTAAAATGACTAACCGTTCCTACTATTTTTCTTGTCATTGCTTAATAATACAAGAGATCAAAGTAATAGGTGAAATTAACTCGTTAGTAATGCTACATTAATTTCTTTAACCATTTTAATACGATATAACATTTTGATGAGATGTTCCTTCGCAAGAGGCGATGTTGAATACCATACCGGGCTATCCGGTACGCAGCTACGTTCCGGCAACAAGTAGAAGACATCGTTTCGCGTCTTAACGCTTTCAGGGCTACAACATTTCAAGTACGAAATATGTAATATATCATTACAAACGATGCATTAAATTAAATTTAAAATATTTGACTGTCATAATATGTGTAGATACCATTTTGATAAGTAGAATTCGTATAACTTAACGGGGCATCTCAGTGGATTCTCTTCGTTTTCTTGCTGTTCATATACCTTCTTCTTCCTTGAATTAGCTTCTTTAAGAAAGCAATAATCAATAGATTAACATGAAAAAAATTAATTAGAAAATTAACACACATTTTTTACGGATAACATAAAATTTTCATCAAATGTAAAATATAAGTTAGAAACCAACCAAGGGCTGATTGCGGCGGATAAAATCTCAAAAGGACATTTCGTGAACCGGGAACTTTTCCTGTCACTGCTGTGGGCTGAGCTGCCGGATTGCGCTTCCAATGTTTCATAATGTGAGAAAAGGAAAGTTGCATATGTTCTTCCACTGTCTGAAAAAAATATTCGAAATATATTTATTAGTACTGAACTAAATTGTAAATAACGAGTTGCATGATTTTCATTAGCCGATCTGTGAACTTACCACAAGATTAAAATGTTTCGTATTGAAGAACATAAGTGTGCTTAACAAAACATGTGGAGAATGGGCACCCAATTGCTTGCATTCCCATAAATGTTCTTCTTCTACTCTCGTCACGATATATTCTACAAAATAGCATGGTTTCTTTATAAAGACAAAATACCGAAAATAAACTTTGCACAAACTTTGTTACAAACAAAAAGACATATACTTACGTGCGTCGTTGTACAGTACAGAGAACTTTTTCGCTACTTCATTTAAACAGTCCGTAAATTTCTCGTAGTACGAGTCCGTGAATATATTGTCAATTCTGTTATTTTCAAACAGATACTGCTGTATTCCTAAAACAAACGGTTTATAAAAAAAAAAATGTTTGACGTTAAAATAAAAGTTTAAACAAAAACAAAATACAGAAGTTGATTTACCTAGGCAGAGATAATAGATTGTATCTGGAGCATATTCCGCGCCATTCGGTTTTCTTACTTCCTTCACAAAGAGGCATAAGGAATAATTTAATTCGTCCGCGGTAAGTTGCAAAAGATCGGTCTTGAATAATTTTATTTTCCTCATCGACGTAATTTGCTTTTCTAATTCGGCATTCTTGCCAATTACCTACAATTACAGTTTTAAAGAGATTTTTGTAAGTAATTCCGCCTCGCTCCTTGATGTATATAAATAAAAGCAGCATAACAAACCCATTGTCTCCACGCATTCACGCCAAATGTATATTTTAGCGCCATGTTAGCGTCGGGCTTTTCTATCGGCTCCATAATGCGCGGTTGCGGCGGCGGTTGCGGTTCTGGTGGTGGCATTAACGGCATGTCGTTCGTACCGGAGACACGTCTTGGTCGTTTATTTGGTGTTGATCGTGGCTTGTACGGCATCACTCGCTTCCTTCCTCTAGAGGCAGCCATCAATCGTTCAGATTGCACTAAAAACATATGTTATTAAAAGTAATTTTTTTGTAGATCGTTAATAAAAAGTATCATGGATTACTTTATAATTGATACATATACAAGTAACAGAATGTTAATAAATAAATAAATTTAAAAAAATAAAAATTAAAAAAAAATATTTAAAAAAAATAAAAAAGTAAAAGGCTCAGGTGATTAACAAAATCAAATATAAATCAAAAGGAGCGTAAAGAGCCACAATGCAAATTCTTCGTGCAAAGGTCACTGTATTCTCATTTGCAATTATACGTTTCTGCCCGACATTAGGCCTTCCTCAATGTACAATATTGACGAAAGAATTGCACGCAGTAATTATAAAAATACAAAGAAGTGGATGATATATTTCGAATCAATTTCGCAGAAATATTGTTCGGATCATTAAAATGGATTGTTAAAATTGTGATACAGACATGTTATCAGATGTTATCAAAACCATTTATCCAAAAGAAACAAAATAGAAGAGTGAATAACTATTGAAACTTATCAGTCAAAAGTTAAAATGTTAATAATAAATATGGTTATCAATTGTTATATATATTGTGTATCGAGTAAAGTTTTACGATATGTCACATACCATCGTTGTCCATAGCGTTTTCGGTCTGTGGCGTTGATTGCGTAGCTGTAATCGTATTCGGCGTCAAAGCAGCTTCAAGGTCAACCGCCGGCTCATCCAATTCTCCCGTAGCCATTTTCAATGCCATTTGTAACATGTCGTCCCCGAATGTGTTACTGGAATCAACCGGATCTTCTGGACTGAAACCATCACTATGTAAATTGTCTTGATCAGCTGTGTCACCTTCCCTAAACAAAAATATGTGCTTTTTGTGCACGAGATAAATAGAACACCACATCATAGTGCGATTGTGTCTGACGGAATAATGTTAAATTCAAATGGTTTATCGCTCACCTATCGTCCACCGAATCCGAATCGCTCTCATTAGTCTTCTTTTCGGTAGCTACCATTTCTGCCATCATAAGGAGTTCGGCTTCATATGGATCAGCTGGTATCTTCTCTTGTATCTTCTTTATATCCTTCATAATTCCTTTAGCGCTGTTCCTCGTAGTAGGTATGAAGAGGGGAACGGGAATGGGTAGTGGAAAAGGCATCGGGATCGGCAAAGGCATGTTATACATGTACATTGGAACTGGGACGTAAATTGGCACTGGTATGGGCACAATTACTTGTTGAAGCTTTTCCGTTGTCTGCGTTGACTTCATGCAAGGATGAGGACGCACAGAAACCCCCTTCGTATGCACTACAGGTTTGCATTGAGTCGTCTTGTTGTGAATTTTTACCGGACTAGCTGGCCTAGTAATAATCTGCTGCTTGTAGAAAATCTGCGTCGTTTGATTCGACATTGCACTCGTAGGCATGACTTGCACGTTTTGCTGCGAGTTTGGACTCGCTTGTCCGCTCCCTATTGTGGCTAAACTTGTTACTGAAGAAATAACCGGCATCGTCTTCTTATTTTGCATCTCATTCGACACTTGAACCGTCTGAGTCGCATTTTTCTGAGATAACGTGGTCCTTTTAGGCGCGCCTGTAGGCACAGGGTCGTCGCTCGTTGGTATAGTTATAGGAGATTTAGTGTATTGCGCTTGGAAATTCATGACACAGTTGTACGAGCAAAAATTACGTATTGTCGCGTCTGACATTGTGAGATGATAATGTGCTAAGGAATACTCCTTACAAAAATCACAGTTAATTCGTTTTGCAGATACCGCGTTAATGGAAACCTGCAAGAAAATAAGAAATGTATATCTTATATATTATTGTTAGGATTGTTAGAATCAGGAATGTGACTTAGAGTCTTATTGTAAGTTAATCAAATTTGTTAATAACACTACTGTTATATATTTCTATTAATTCTTGCCCAATAAATATAATTCCACATTATTAAATGTTATTATAAATATTAAATATTATACCTGATATAACGTTAAGCAGTTTAAACTGCACATCATCAGAATCTGTCCCGATTTCAATTCCTTTTTAATCATATCAAAGTTATATTTCTTTACTTTGCACCAATTACACGGGACTATTTTCCTATTGGTTATGATAAATATATTTAAGCATGTCTTGTGGCAAAACGTATGGGGCTCATTCTTGTAAAATACCATGAAGTGTGCCTTATTTGGTAGTTCGAAAAATTTCTTGCAGGTCGAACATTGCTCGGGCTTCACTTGCTTTACAAACTTAAATGCTGCAAAACAGGGTTCACTGCATATGGCTACTGGTGTGCTATTATATATTTGAACTTCGCAATGTACAAGTTTTTCCTGTAAAAAAGTGTCATTAGATTTAAAAATTATATATGACACGCATAAAATATTTAAAAATCTAAAAAAATAATCGTACCTCTTTACAAACACTGCAGGGTTTCTTTTCTGTAGACACAGGTTCTGAAGAATTTAATTTTGAATATTTTTCCATACAATCCTGGGTACAAAAGTCTTTAAATTGTCCTTTCTCTCCAACTGGCGCTAGAAAACCATCTGTACTAATACTTATGTCTTTCTGACAGTAACTGCACACTTTTAAACCCTTTTTAAATTCCTCTAAACATGTCGAACAGCAGAACTGCCTTACGTCACACCCAAATCTCACACAATATTTGCCTAAACTCACTGATTGAACCAGACCATTGCAATTCTTACAATAACTTCCATATTTTCTTTGGAATTTTCCCAAGCATTCCTCATTACAAAATTCCATGGTTTCCCAAGAAAGATTTCGTTCCTCATTCGCATCTATAAGTGATATACAATTCGCACAGCGTTTCTCTTGTTTAGAACTACTTCCGTTGCTTGGTATGTCCACTGCTTTATTATTGGCTGCTTTGAATAATGCTTTACACGTTTTCGAGCATACGTGATAGTTTTGTGTACCAATTTTCACCCGAATTTTACACGTTCTTTCCTCACCGCACTGTTTACACGTTTCTTTAGTAATGATTTCTTCTACCTCCGAATTCTTGGACTCATCATCAATGTTAATAACATCTGTTGATGGGATTATATCTTCTGTTATTGGCGTATGTTCATTCTGAATGGTTACTATATTTTCCGCATTATCTTTATTTTCTGTAGCTGCTAAACTAGGACTATCTTGTGACATATCTTTATTAAGTTCAAAATTAGATTTGCTTGTTGTTTCATCATGTTTGGAGTCTTTATCAAGTGCTGATTTACTTTGCTCATTGTCCATTGCCTTGCCTGACTTATCTGGTATTATTACTTTCATACTATCAGGAATAATACATAATTCATCATCTTGTCCTGGTAACACATCAGCTTGCTCCTCCTCTGTTTCCATTGGCGTAATCTCTTCAATATTCTTTTTTGCTTGTTCATTTTGCTCATTGGACGATTTTGCAGACGAAGCATTTCCTGTTCCTGTCTCGGATGTGCTACTCGGTAGATCGGTGTCCATTGATGTAGTTTCAAGAGAATCAACAGTGGTTTGTATATTATCTGATGTTTTAGTAACGTTATCCATACTTTTATTAACATTGGTACTCTTTGGATCAGAATCATTTGATTCACAATCAACACTAAGTTTTTCATCACAATTGTTACTGTTAGCATTTACTGCATCCTGTAAATTATCACCTCGATCGTATAAGCCTTTAAAGCTAATTTCATCGTCAGCAAAACTGTCAGTTTCTATTTGTTCCACATTTTCGGAAGCAAGATTATCACCGCCAAATGGATCTTCTGCATCCATAGATTGGTTTTCAATTTGTGTATCATCGTGCTTGTCATGAGAAAATTGTACAAATTCTGTGTGTTCGGGTTCAATGTTCTTCTCAGATAGAGAATCCTTTTCCAGATTTTCTAAATTACTGTCCGAAGATTCCGATTCTGTTTTTTTCAATGATTCAACCTCCTTTTGAGACACTTGCTCGTCATCTGCATTAGTACTTGTTTCATCTGGATTATCACAATGTTTATTTTTTTCTGTAGGTGTTTCTAACTCAGCCACAACATTTTCATTGGTAGATTTAGCACATTCACTTTTTGTATTATCTGGAACTTCCAGTAAATCTTCACAATTTGATGAATCCACATCACAATTTTCTGTTAAATTATGTGTACCCAGTTCTAATGTTTCCTTATCTGCATTAATTGCTAAACTTTTTTTGCAAGAACTTTCAATTAAATTATTTTCTTCACTTATTACAGTCTCACTTTTCTCAAAGGATGGCACTGTGATTTCTGTGTTATCATTATCTGTATTATCTGCCAAAGTTTCTAAACATGCAGCAGAACCACTTGTTTCTATACTTAATGGAGTTAAATCTTTTTCAGACTCTGCTACTGCAATTGTTTCTTCATTTGCTTCTTTGTTAATTTCTTCATTTACTTCTTTATTAATTTCTTCATTTACTTCTTTATTAGTTTCTTCATTTACTTCTTTATTAGTTTCTTCATTTGTTTCTTTATTAGTTTCTTCATTTGCTTCTTTATTAGTTTCATTTGTTTTTTTATTTTCTTCTTTATTTATTTCTTCATTTGTTTCATGATTTTCTTCTTCATTAATTTTTTTACTTGTTTCATGATTTGTTTCTTCGTTTGTTTCATTATTTGTTTCTTCATTTATTTCAGTTTCTGTTTCTTCAGGTTGTGGCTCATCTTTATCAAGATGTGATTTATCAGATTCTTCGTTTTCTCCTGAAACTTCCTTAACACAGTTCTCATTATCATTTTTATTTTCAGTATTGTTTACAATTTGTGCTTCAGATATAACATCAGTCTTGTCTAAAGATACTGGTTTATCTTCGGAATCCATTGTTACATTAATTTTAGATTTGTCCTTTGTATCTAAAAATATATGACATATATATAATAAATTTTAATAACAAAATACACATTTTTTGTTCATTACAAAAGAAAAAGCTTCTTTTATATTGACTCACATTTGTCAAGCTTATGATAAAGATCTAAAAGTTTTCAATAAGCTAAAAAACACAAATAATGCACTTAGATTTATTAATTACAAAAAAATAGATTTCAATTTAGAAATTACAACATATATATTTTCAACACTCTTTTTTTACAGAACATAAATATGGCATTAAACTACAATAAGTATTTAAAAAATTTTTGAATATTTTATTTTACACATGAAAATAAATTAAACACTCAAAGTATAAAAAAAGCTTCAAAATCGAATAAGAAATATTTCGTACAATATAAATGTGTAAAAAGATATTTCGTATATAAGTATACGTCAAAAAGCTGCAATATGAAGTATCAACAGCTTGTTTTATGCGAGCGATATTTAGGTTATGAAAAAGATCTGCTTGCATCGCCATGTTTCTCTTACCCTATCGGTCTAATCGGTCGTTAAAACGTCGAGCTTAAACTTCAACGGGAAACGTCGAAGACACGCCATGTATAGCATAACCTTACGTCCATTTAGAAATAGATGTATGCATTTTCCACAGATAGCAGGAAATTCGGCACTATTGACTGTCTCATTGAAATGCGCTTGTGAGAGCCGAACGCGCGATTCGTTCGAAACGAAGTGACGCAATTATCGAAGTCTGGCAGTGCGCGGCTGAACGCCGGTTTTTGCGAATGAATTCTGCTTTGAGATATTCATTCAAAACAGACAAAAGTTGATTCATAAACAGTGTCAAAAAGCAACGACTGTGAGAAGCTGTTTTCCATCGATAATATAAAATTTTATTTCATAAAAGGCGTAGACATAAAATAAAAAACATAAACAACAGTAAAATCTAAAGATTTATTCACATAGCTTGCGTGACTTAATTGACTATTATAACCAATCTCGTCGGTGAACAAGACTGCAGTGTTGCCAGCTGCACTTGCTACTGCTAGGTTAGCACTAGATGATGTGTTCTGTCCGCTACGTTTGGACGGCTAGAAATGATCTAATATAGCATTGAAATGTAATATATTGCAAATTCTATAATTTACTTAATATAAAATATTAAAATATTTAGATAATACAAATAATACTTTGTAATGAATTTTATATTTTCTTGAACAAAGAAAACAGAAATCAGCTGCTGCCACGTAAATTTTAAATGCATCAAGAAAGCAACGTGTTTATCATGAGATGATTTTTGCTTTTACTTTATTTATAGTTATGATATCTTAGATTAAGAATTACTCGCTATATCTACTATCAATATCTCGTTTACGTATGTTTGCAGATATTATTTAATTTTTATCAGACTTTTGTTAATCATATAAATATTACAAATTAATTCTGTATTTTTTAATCTTATTGGTTTTCTACTGACAAAGTTGATTTTGTAAAATCTATTCTCGACAAATTTGGCTAATATAAAAATAATTTAGTAAAAAGACAATTTTTCTATTTGTACGCCACTCAAGCGATAAAAATTTGATTGAATTTACTAAGTTTACACATCTTTATTGCATTCCTATTCTCTTCAGAATAGTGGCAACATTCAAAGTGAAGCACTTCGCAAGTGAATAATGATGCAATATGATTGATCCAGCAAGGATCTAAGGGTAAGAGCCAATCACATTAACACATCGTTAATCGACGAAACATTTC